TTCAAAACAAAAGTCAAGTTGTAATAACTTAAGAAAATTTGCTTGATAACTTAATTTTTCTCCACCTTGAGTTCAGCATTTCAAGTCCCCTCCCCCCACCCACCCACCTATCACATGCCTGGGCACATTCAGACAGTTAAGGACCTGTAGGCTGAACAAATACGATATACAAAGGACATTTTAGTTGCAAATCAATTCTTCCAAGAATTTGGGCATATTCTCAATTGTGATTTGACCAGCAGTGGACTTGTGACTGAAGGTTAGGCTACATCTGTTAATGCAGTTAAAGGTATATGTTGTACTGATAAACATAGTTAAGTCTAATCATATTTACCAGTGCAGTTTAGTCATTCTACCCTTCAGTGTAGCATCGCAGTGGATACGAATTATAAAGTTTGATTTGGCAAATCGGCTCAGCTTGAGAGAGCTTTTTATTTGAGCCATGTAGAGGAATAGCATGATACTTATTATGTGTTTAGCTGTAAACTACATTGTTGTTTGTATGTATTAAACTGGATAAATATTAATAATTTAGCAGGGTACTTGAACGGCCCATCTTATTGCCTGATCTTTGTTTCCAAGTTGCCCCTATGGAGAGCGACTACTTGGATCAAAATTCTGAATTCTTCCGTTTGTGTGGTCTACAGATAAATAAAGAATTCCAGAGAAAATGTCCAGACTTGAAAGTTGCACATCAAAAATGATGGATGTAGTCTCATCAAGGACAGGAGCTACAGGAGTGGCAATCAGACATATAAAAGACATGCTTCTCCAGGTATGGAAATTATTAGGCTTATCTTTGTTGCAGTTACCAGTTCAGATTTTTTTCACTTTTCTTAAATAGCCCAATACAATTGAAGTACACAGAGACGTAGCTATCCACTGCCTTGGAGAGAAGGAAGAGGACCGTTTTTAAGGAGTTTAGAGTAAGTAATTCAACATCTTGAAAGAAAATGAAATCCACATTGGGCAGTTTAAATTCACAGGGCAGAAACCTGCTTATGGTCCATTAAAGTTTTAAGTATATTTCACTTCTGGCCATACCCCAATCTGTAATATCATAACAATGGTCTGTTCAGATAGGTGTTGACAGCAATGGCATGGGAAAATACTTTCAATGTATTAATAAATCAATGTATTTTTTCTTTTTCTCTGCTGTACGAGGACACAGAAGTGTTTGAGGCAGGCCTCAATAGACATCTGATGAAAACTGCTGCCATCGTTGACCGGTCCACCCCAGAATCTGACCATATGACAGCAACCATCATGGTCGAGAGAACCAAAATCCTGGAGGGCAAGGATATCCCAAGGTGCTATGGTTTGCTGATGGGAATCTGAGCTATTGGACTTAAATGTACATTGATAGTGACAGTCTGCTGCTGTTTGTTACAGTTTTTGTAAATTTATCTAAAAGGTCTTTCCTATAATGTGTAAAAAAGACTGCCGGACCTTGAGAAGATTGGTGGCCATGTATGGGACAATTTGAATTTGTGTTGTTATTGTTTTCTAAGTTTTAAATATTGTGTGTTCAAACACTGTTAAACTGCAGTTCATAATAAAAACAGTTCATGCCAAACAGTTTTGTTATCGAATTAATTAATTTCTCACATAAACACAATTTTAAAATGTGGGTCAACATAAAAAACATTATTAAAGTTATTAAGTAAATGACACTTAAAATTCCTTTTAAATAATGTGGGAAAACTATTTGGAACGACTTAATTTTATGAGTGATCAACTTAAAAACATGTGTTTATACTACCAATTATTAAGTAGGTGGTAATTAAAAATACCTTTCATTGTAGAGGAAAAGTTAATTCGCCTTACTTAATATAGTTCATTGGTTGAACATAATTTCATCTGCATCAGAGAAGCCTGTGAAGAGCCTCGGTCGATGGTCTGATGCCTCCCTCAAAGACAAGGAGCAAGTAGATCAGCTCAGGAAGGACGTAACCAGCGGCCTAGAGAACATTGACAGAACCCTGCTTCCTTCAAGCTGAAGCTCTGGTGCATACAATTTGGGCTACGTCCACACCTCATGTGGCCACTCACCCTGTACGAAGTTCCAATCTCAAAGGTGGAAAAGCTGGAGAGACTGGTTAGCTCCTATGGTCTTCCCAAGTGCCTCAGCAGTATTGGGCTCTACGTCAAAGGAATTTTAGATCTGCCCATTTCCAGCTTATCTGAGGAGTACAAGTGCACCAAAGTAAGACTGGAAATGATACTATTGGATTCAGGCGATCCATTTGTAGCCCAAGCTGCCCCCATCCTGGCTACTGGGCCTTGGGACAGCACACCTGGCTGGAACAAGGCCACTCCGTCCCAAAGACTGAAATCGCGTCCACCAGACCTTGTGCTGTGGTCAGCTTCGCTCAAGCACGTGTACATCATTGAGCTCACGGTCCCCTGGGAGAGTGCAGTAGAGGAGGCCTACGAGCGCAAGAAGCTGAGGTACACAGAGGTTGCAGCCGATGCACAACAACGAGGCTGGACAGCGAGGGTCCGACCAGTGGAGGTAGGCTGCAGAGGGTTTGTAGTCGCCTCAACATCCAGGCTACTCTGGGAGATGGGAATGCGAGGGAAGGCCCATCGACAGGCAGTCAAGGACCTCTCCAGAGCTGCTGAAAAGGGGAGTCAGTGGCTGTGGATAAAGAGGAAAGACTCCACATCAAGTGGGTAGATGGGATCTAGAGTTTGAACCTGGGACGCTGGGATTCACTGCTGAACCCTCTGGAGGTGACGTGGGAAAACATCATCAGCGAAACATCTAAGAAGGAGGGCGCCCACTTGATAACCCAGAGGATGCCATCACTCACTTGACCATCCCACAAAGTCTTAGTAGTGTCTCAGGAATGCAATAAGGGATATCAACATCTACTCCTACACAACAGATCTGATCAACTGTGTTGTCACAACTCAAAATGATAGATGGAAACTGTTTTCATTATTGAGCCAAGACATTTGTTTTTAGAGTCTGTGTGTGTATTTATATTTCTCCTTCATGATCATTTCCTCTTTTGTTCTCTGGACTTTCTTCTCTTCTGAGTAAACCTCAGAATATTCTTGAACTGGTCGTCATTACTAGATAAAGTAAAGTGCCATAAAAACTGTCTTTAAGCACACTACTTGAGTAAATGTACTTAGTTACATTCACTGGTTATTGCCTTCTATGTAGTCCTGTGGACGGCTCATTGTGTCAGATTTCCAGATGCTGACTTTACAGTTGTGAATGAGGTATTTGGTACCTAAATGACCAACATTCAGATTATTCGTAGCCTAGGGTTTTCCTGGTGTGTAGTGTTCACTGGAGAATTTGACTTTTTTTTGTGGTGCCGAGTTTTCACTTGTAGGTTGTAGCAACGTTCCCCTTTGGGTTCGTTGAGCTGTTTTTGTGTAGTGTTGTAGTGTTGAACGTGGCTGAAGCTTTGTTTGGGAGCATGTCTGTGGTTTCGGGAGGGTTGCTGGTTCGCTAGTCGCTCTCCTGATCCAGAGGTCTCCAGTGCGTAAACACCCACCACAACTAGCTATATGAAGACTAGGGGGGAGGTTAGTTAGCCAGGTTGAGGATTATTCCTCTTTGTGCGCACAGGTGAACGGCTTTGTGTCTGTCTGGTCCTTTAGTGTGTGGAAAAGTTGATTATTGTCCCACTTTATAACCTCTACATCTCATACTGCTCACACACTCACATCTACAGCACTGATGTTACTGATAAACACACCTCAGATGTGCACTTATTAATAAATACATGATCCATGGCCTTGGAGCCGAGTTATGACAATCTTAAAAAGTCTAGTTCCCCAAAGTCACATTTTTTATGTTTGAATAATTGTTTCCATTTCCTTTAGTTTCTATAAAGACAAATGGTTCATATTCTGTAACACTGAGGCCACAGACGTTGCTCCATCTGTTCTTCAGTTTGAAGAAATCAATGACACAGCAGTTTGTTACGTTGTTGAGTCAAACACTGGACACAGCGAACATTTGAGGGCTTTATTTAGCAACTGCTAACACTGATAGCATCCACGTTTCACCTGCAGCCGCTGTACTTCTCCACCTGTTCCTCTCTACTTCTCTGTCCCTCATTCTGCAGTCCTCTTCCACTCTGTACACAGTCCCACAGAGACACCTACTGGTCAGGAGGCGTAGCTACCGACAGTAACAGTGGACAGCAGAAACATCCATGTCCAATTCCTCTGTTTGTGAACACAACACAGTTGGACTTTCATTTCATGTTCATTAGTGCATATTTTTGGGGTAAAACAAGTGTAATGAGAACTATCACAGCTGTGTTGTCACTTTGAATGACTCAGCAAACCTCATGGTGAGCATGCTGACAAATGATGGGGCTAGCATTTTGTGAATGATCAAACAATCTAAATACTTTATTTTGTATTTGGATCCACATTAGCTTCTACAAAGTGGCTGCTGGTCTTCCTGGAGATCACACAAAAACTATGATTATAAAAACAATTTAAAATGACACTGTATCAATAAAACAAGAAAAATATAAAGATCAGAAGATAAATATAAACTATAGTAACCGACAATGGAAACAAAACCATGATTTTAAAATAAATACACTGCTGTTTAGTTTCAATAAACACTAATTCATTCAAACATTTTATTATTCTTCCATCTACTAAAGCAAACAGTTTTTATTGTATTTATAAACCGTAGATGTTGGATTGGAGATAAAACTTGTTGTAAATAAATGTTTTGGAGCTTAAGTTACTAGTTACTTTACAACAGGAGAGTTTATATCATATACAGAGACTTTACAAAATATGATGTTTTATTATAAGTGTAATTTAAAATGTCGATTAACAGAAAATAAATATATGGACAGCAACTAATATAATAATATGATATATAACGGTTAGAAATAAGCTCCACCTCAACAAACTATGACAGTAAAAAGCTGCTTTTCCATTAATACATGAGTAACTATAGTCTGATGATATAATATAATAATATTGTTGGGCACATTAAACAAACTGCATTTTAATATTTTCCTTATTTATTCATTTATTTTAACATTACACATATAAAAATAAAACTGCTCCAAATTCTGTATCCTGTACTGAGATTGTTTAACAGGCTGAAATTTCATTTAAACTACATTTCAGACACACTGAAGAGTAAAATGTTCACATCATGCTGGTTTCTCACAAATACTTCTGTGAGCATATTTGCAGGATTCATCAAACCAGCATTTCAGATCAGGAGCTCCTGCTTTCTCTCCCATCCTCACACAGTCCTCTCCATCAGGATCTTTCCCTGTCCAGTTATCTGGCTCATCGGGGAACCAAAATGTCAAACTAAGAGTTAGAGAACAGAAAGAAAATGGTTCAATAAAACTGATAACTTTGATTTTAGAAACTGGCAAAAAATATATTTATAACAGTCAAACCTCTCGTTCAGTGGTGAGCCGTCTACCCACAACCATGTGCCCTCTTTCTCTGAGTCTGTCAGTCCGATCCAGAACTTGTCCCAAAAGTCATTCATTTTTTCTCTCACTTTCAGCTCCAGGAATGTCTGGACAGGAAAAGTTAATGAAGAACACAATATGTAACATGACTTTTCTGTGCTGAGAGACCATGTTAACTAATGTGGAAACACAAGGATGTGATAAAACAAATGAGAATAAAGCCAGTGAGCTACATGAACCTGCAGCAGTGTGTTTTACCTGCTCCTCTCTGCTGTCTATCTGAACCAGATCTCCTCCTTTCTGTCGGCATTCATCTCTGCTGTTACTCCAGGTGAAATAATTGGTGGAGAAATAATAACACTGTCTTCCATGCTGCTCCCAGCCATATTCACATTTTGGATATGACTCATCTTTGAAGAGATCACAGTAAAGACTTGAGTCAGGTGAAACAGATCACTGTTTATATTTGTGTGATTTGGAAGCAGCAGGAACTTTGAAATGTGATGAGTTTGAATCTGAGAGTAGCTGAGACAATCAGACAGAGGCAACAGTTTTCTACTTCACAGGTATATATACTGCCAATCTGACTTCTTGTATCTGTCAATACAGCACTGGTTCTTTAATCATCATCAGAGGATGCACACATGGAAGAAAGGCAAAATTCATCACTTTCTTTCTTTTACTACAGGAGGTTGTGGGCTGGTTTGCTGCACCGTGTTGCATGATTTTACTTCACAGCGTCTCTCTGGTAAAAAAAACAATTTCACTTTCAATATCAGGGTCCACCTGTCAGAACTGAAAACAATCCAGTTTGACACAAAATGAGACTTGCAGAGACTTGTGGACTAAATCTTTTAGACAGTTTCAAACACAATCTGAGATGTGAGATGTCATATTTTCAAAGGATCTTGCAGTGTTGCAAAATGTAGTTTTAAAAAAAAGTAGACTTTTAACTTGTAGACTGAACCTTTTCAGACTAAACCTGACTGGATTACCTGTGAGATTTCTTTTCACAGCTTCATGTTCGTCTCCCAGAGTCTGGAAACTTTGCTTGGTGTGCATGTTATCAAGAGCTGATTAAAAAAAGAAAGCACAGGTCAAACACTGCATTGGTAAATCATCAGTGTTTGATGATAAATGTGTTTATTCCATAAATATTAACTAATTAAAATAAAGTTCGGGTTCCAAAAATAAAATTTATTTTTCATTTTAACTTCCAATGTAAAATCTCTCTGCACTGTAAAAACTCCAATTTATATTATTTGACCTAAATTATCAGCATTCAAAGTAAAAGTTGAAGATGTGTTGTGAAGAAGTTGCGATTTATTAAAAAATTATGTGACAAAGTTCTGTTAACTTGTGTTCTTTAGTCGATGAATTAAGAAAAACTAAATCTCACTACATGTTTACTTTATCATTTGCACTTTAAAATCTCAATAATTATATGAAATAAACATTTTCTGTTATCAATAACTGTAATTAGATAAGTTTGTCAATGTCAAGTTTTAAGTGTTAACTCATAATCATGAGTTCAGTTCAATAAATGTCCAATCAATTGATCACTTAACTCATAATATTAAATAGTTTGAAACATTATTTGAAAACGCTTCCCAGCATGCATTGCTTTAAGGCTAAAATTAACCAGAAATCCTTTTTTATATGAAAAGACACATGATGGAGGCTTTTATGTCTTTTTATACATTTGTCTCAGAGGAGTCTAAAATGAAAACACTGCCAGCCATGATGGACACTTCCTGCACCCTTTCAGTATAAGAGCCATTAATTTATGTGGTTAAACATAAACTCAGTATTTACTGTAACTGTCAGTAACACAGGAGGAGTTGTTACTGGGGATAAAACTAAAGTCAATATACATCAATCTACATGACAAACTTACAGAGACGGCAAATAACAATGACAGCAGCTGCCAGGAGAGCGCTGACAACCAGCAGGGCCACTCTCTCTGATCTGACCTTTGACCCTCCATTTGACCCTGAGTGTTGTTGGGAGGCTGGAGCTTCCCCTGTTCAACAGGTAGAAGAGACAGAGATGGGAAACAGATGTGTGCAGAGGGTGGTCACAATAACATGAACACCCATACAGCTGTTCCAAAAGCCGAGAAATGAGTCAAATAAAATACTGCCCTATTAGTTTCTAAAAGTTAAAATTAAAGTTTGTTAACTACTTAAAGACATTTTCTGTATCACTGTTGCAGTTCTCAAAACATTAAGAGCAGCAAGTATCACACCATTTTATTAAGTGCAGCACAACACATCACTCAACACATGACACGTGTGTCAGCAGCCTGTTAGCTTAGCTTAGCATAAAGACTGGAAACAGGGGCAAACTGCTAGCCTGGCTCTGTTTGAATGTATCAGCACATTTCAAACTCTCTAATTATCACTGTAACTACCTGGAGTCTCCACTGGTTGCCTGGCAACATCATCCTGACAACAAGACTCCAGGAAGTTACTCCTCCGGCCCAAGAAACAGTCTGGGACATAACGCCCTGTAAAACCACAGCGTTTCATTTTTACATTAAACAAGATATAATGTGTTAATTATTGAGCTTTAATCAACAATGTGTTGTTAAACAGTGACAGGTGATGTAGCATACTGTACTTCTACAAGTTATAGTTATTATTATTTATTATTTTAAAGAAATGTTAAAATGTTGAGATTTTAAATAGAAAAAAATAAACAAGATGAACATAAACTTGTGTTATTTTTGTACATTTCATGGTCGCCTGCTTCACTTGCTGCTCTGATGACTTTTAAACACTGTTGTTGGTCTCTGACAGTGCAGAGGGCTGCTGCTGCATTAGACCAACAGGAAACCTCGATACATTTCCTGTTATCTGACAAGATTATACATATATGTGTGCATTTAAATTTCTCCTTCATGATCAGTTCCTCTTTTGTTCTCTTTCTTCTCTTCTGAGTAAACCTCAGAATATTCTTGAACTGGTCGTTATTACAAGATAAAGTAAAGTGCCATAAAAACTGTCTTTAAGTACAGTACTTGAGTAAATGTACTTAGTTACATTCACTGGTTATTACCTTCTATGTAGCTCTGTGGACGGCTCATTGTGTCAGATTTCCAGATGCTGACTTCAGATTAAGTGCTGTCAGTCGATGAGGAAACTTTCTCTGTGACAAAAAGCACAAAAACCAAAATGCAGAAATAATTTGTGTCACTGTGGACATCAAGTTTCCCAGTTAGAACAAATAAAAACTGCTTTAGGAAGTATTTGGTATGTTTCAGAAAGGTTTCACACCCTTTCACACAGACAGACAGACAGACAGACAGACAGACAGACAGATAGATAGATAGATAGATAGATAGATAGATACTGACTTTTCTTCCTGCTCTTTTTAGCCGTTTTATCTGAACATCAATGTACACTATCAACTTCTTCTGTTGGAAAGAACCACTTCCTTTTAGTCTCAAAGATGGGGAGGAGCCTTTATCTTGTGACGGCCCCTGTCCAATCTGCTACAATGCAGATGTGGAGGACAAGTTTCTGTTCTTTCTATCCATCCATGTGTCCATTTGTAAATGAGGTATTTGGTACCTAAATGACCAACATTCGGATTATTCGTAGGCTAGATTTTAAATACAAAACATCCAACTGTACTGTACATTTTACCGCCGCCTGCTTGTCTTGCTTTTCTGAGTGCTGCTGCTGCATTAGACCAACAGGAAACCTCAATACATTTCCTGTTGTCTGACAACACAACAACAATTTCAATATAAATACATACACTAATGGTCAGAAGACACCCCGATACTTCCAAGTTTTTATTGAAATTCATGCAGTTCAATGTCTTATTGTACTCTGAAATAAAAGCATGGAACTAATAAACAATTGAAAGGAAAAAAAAATGTATTCTAAACTTCAGACTCACTCAAGTCGCCACCTTTGGCAGATATAACAGCTGAACACACTTGTGGCATTATTTCTACAATGGAAATCAAATATTATTCAGAAAGTTCTTCCCAACTCTGTTGCAGAAGTTCCCATAAATGTGTGACACTTGTAGGTTGATTTGCTTTCACTCTTCTGTCCAGTTCATCCCAAACCAACTCAATGGGGTTTAAGTCTGGCTACTCCATGTTTTCAAACTTACCGTCTTGTTCTCTTTTCCTAAGGTAGTTCTGGCATAGCTTGGACTTATGTTTTAGGACATTATCTTTGCTGTGGGATGAACCCCTGACCAACTAGGCTCATACCAGAGGGAACTGCATGGCACTGCAGAATGCTGTGGTAGCCGTTTTGGTTCAGGGTGCCTCTCACTCTGTACAAGTCACCGACCCTGGATCCAACAAAGCAGCCCCAGACCATCACGCTTCCTCCTCCATGTTTGACAGTTGATGTCACACACTGAGGAACCCTCCTTATTCTGACGTCTTAGCAATGACTTTCTTACTGCAACTCAACCTGTCAAACCTGCAGCTTGAAGTCTTTTCTTTACAGTTGAAACTGAGACTTGCTTATTACGACCACTATTAAAGGCACACTATGCAAGATTTTTACCTCAATATAACAGCTTTTAAGACATTTCGATGGTAAACGAACTCTTAGTACAGCGAATCATCCCAATAGCAAAGCAGGAGAGGGAAGCCACTGGCAGAACCAGCAATGCAAGTCTGAAAGGTGGCGCCCCGCCAAATCTCGCAAGAATCCCGAATTGCTTTACGGTGCAACATCACATACATCAGCGACATAAGAAGTAGCCTCAATGGAAGACACTAGCAGGCATTCACTAAGACGTTACCTGGTCAGTACACATCTTTGGAGTCTATCTTTGCCTGTTCGATGTCCGACGCTTCCATCCTACTGAATGTACCGGTATACGGGGGGAGGGGATCAGGCCGTGAGTGCAGAGACGCAGAGCCGTATATAGAGGCGGCTCTGGTGAGTGGTATTTACAACAGTTAACGTTAAATACAAGTACTCCGCAACGACTCTATGGGTAGCTTTTTGACAAAACCGGAAAACTGCATAGTATGCCTTTAAGCTGAGCTTGAAGCTGTTGTTCTGTGAGCCACCTATCACGCAAGCTGTTGACTCTCAGAAACGTCATCTAATTCTGTTGTGGCTTTGGGTCTGCCAGACCTCTTCCTGTCAGAGTTTGCCCCAGTTTCTGAGTGCCTTTTGATGGTTTCTGCAGTACAAACCACAGCGTGTTCCAACACTACTTTTATGCAGACAGAGGGGGTTGTAAGAAATGAAGATTTGTTGGGACACCTGTGGGAATCGGTAGCACCAACTTTCAAGGCTTGATCAACCTCCATTGCTGCAGAACAGCTCTAAGGTGTTAACCCATTTCTTGTTCCCTGAAAAAGGCATTTTTGAGTAATTCTGAAATGTACATTATTTTTCAGTTTTGGGTAACCTTACCTTTTTTTTTTAACCTCTGGCAGTTCACCACTTACCTTTTTACCATTGCAAGCTATTCATTGGACTTGAACTGTTCAATAAAAAACTGGAAGAATTGGCGTCTCCTAAAACTTTTGACCAGTAGTCTATGTATGTGTGTGTTTTTATATTTCTCCTTCATGATCAGTTCCTCTTTTATTCTCTTGACTTTCTTCTCTTCTGAGTAAACCTTAAAATATTCTAGAACTGGTCGTCATTACGAGATAAAGTAAAGTGCCATAAAAACTGTCTTTAAGTACAGTACTTGAGTAAATGTACTTAGTTGCATTCACTGGTTATTACCTTCTATGTAGTCCTGTGAACGGCTCATTTTGTCAGATTTCCAGATGCTGACTTCAGATTAATTATCCATCCATTGTGTCTATTTGTGAATGACGTATTTGGTACCGAAATGACTAACATTCAGATTATTCGTAGCCTAGGTTTTGTGGGGTTTTCCTAGTGTGTAGTTTTCACTGGAGAATCTGATGTGCGTATGTGTAAAGTTTGTCGGGACGTATGGATCCTTATTCTCTGATTTACCTGTGCAGGTGCAGGTCGGTAAACTTTTGTTTGTTCGCGTGTGAGCAAGTGTTGGATTAGATGAAAGGACACGTGTTTGAGGATGACTTTGTAGGCTCAGTTAACTATTTTCTTTTACACGGCTTTATAGAGTTTCTTAGTTTCTTTCTTGGAGAGATTTATTGTTTTGTGAAGTGGTGTGGAGTTTTCACTTGTAGGTTGTAGCAACGTCCCCCTTTGGGTTCATTGAGCTGTTTTTGTGTAGTGTTGTAGTGTTGAACGTGGCTGAAGCTTTGCTTGGGAGCTTGTGCGTAAACTTCCACCACAACTAGCTATATGAAGACTAGGGGGAGGTTAGTTAGCCGGGTTGAGGATTATTACTCTGTGCGCACAGGTTAACGGCTTTGTGTCTGTCTGGTCCTTTAGCGTGTGGAAAAGTTGATTATTGTCCCACTTTACAACATCTACATCTCATACTGCTCACAATAGTCTGGGACATAACGCCCTGTAAACCCACAGTGTTTCATTTTTACACTAAACAAGATATAATGTGTTAATTATTGAGCTTTAATTAATCAATGTGTTGTTAAACAGTGACAAATGATGTTACATACTGTACTTCTACAAGTTATAGTGATTATTATTTATTATTTTAAAGAAATGTTGAAATGTTGAGATTTTAAATAGAAAAAAATAAAAGATGAACATGAACTTGTGTTACTTTTTCTACATTTCATGGCCGCCTGCTTCACTTGCTGCTATGACTACTTTTCATCATGTTGTTGGTCTCTGACAGTGCAGAGGGCTGCTGCTGCATTAAACCAAGAGGAAACCAACATTGTTAAATTTAAATACACATGTGTGTATTTATATTTCTCCTTCATGATCAGTTCCTCTTTTGTTTTCTGGACTTTCTTCTCTTCTGAGTAAACCTCGTCAATACGAGATAAAGTAAAGTGCCATAAAAACTGTCCATAAGTACAGTACTTGAGTAAATGTACTTAGTTACATTCACTGGTTATTACCTTCTATGTAGCCCTGTGGACGGCTCATTGTGTCAGATTTCCAGATGCTGACTTCAGATTAAGTGCTGTCAGTCGATGAGGAAACTTTCTCTGTGATAAAAAGCACAAAACCAAAATGCAGAAATAATTTGTGTCACTGTGGACATCAAGTTTCCCAGTTAGAACAAATAAAAACTGCTTTAGGAAGTATTTGGTATGTTTTAGAAAGGTTTCACACCCTTAGATAGATAGATAGATAGATAGATAGATAGATAGATAGATAGATAGATAGATAGATAGATAGATAGATAGATAGATAGATAGATAGATAGATAGTATAAACTGATACATAAAGCAACATATTTATCAAAAATTCACCAATTACTTTTCTTCCTGCTCTTTTCAGCCGTTTTATCTGAACATCAATGTACACCATCAACTTCTTCTGTTAGAAAGAACAACTTCCTTTTAGTCTCAAAGATGGGGAGGAGCCTTTATCTTGTGACGGCCCCTGTCCAATCTGCTACAATGCAGATGTGGAGGACAAGTTTCTGTTCTTCTTATCCATCCATTGTGTCTATTTGTGAATGAGATATTTGTTACCTAAATGACCAACATTCAGATTATTTGGAGCTGAGGTTTTGTGTAGTTTTCACTGGAGAATCTGATGCGCGTATGCGTAAAGTTTCCTGTTGGTCTAATGCAGCAGCACTCTGCACTGTCAGAGACTAACAACAGTGTGGAGAAGTAATCAGAACAGCAAATGAAGCAGGAGGCCATGAAATGTTTCAAAAATAAAACCTTTACAGTTGGATGTTTTCTATTTAAAATCTCAAAGTTTCAAGACTTCTTTAAAACAATGAATAATAAACCCATCATTTGTCACTGTTTAACAACACATTGATTAATTAAAGCTCAATAATTAACACATTATATCTTGTTTAATGTAAAAATGAAACGCTGTGGTTTTACAGGGCGTTATGTCCCAGACTATTTCTTGGGCCGGAGGAGTAACTTCCTGGAGTCTTGTTGTCAGGATGAGGTTGCCAGGCAACCAGTATAGACTCCAGGTAGTTACAGTGATAATTAGAGAGTTTTAAATGTGCTGATACATTCAAACAGAGCTAGGCTAGCAGTTTCCCCCTGTTTCCAGTCGTTATGCTGAGCTAAACTAACAGGCTGCTGACTGTAGTTTACAGATATAAGAGTGGTTTAAATCTTCTCTTCTAACTCTGCAATAATTTAGAGGTAGATGAGAAACATATCTTCACAAAATGTTGAACTAATCCTTTAGGTGATGATAAAGTAAAAAGTAATTTTGGTTGCAGTGATTAATTCATTTACTTTTGACAAAACATGTCATATTTTGAAGTACAATGTCATTTCTCAAACAAATCTTTCAGTTACAGATCTTACAAACTTTAAATAGTTATTATCATCCCTTCCCCCCATCTGTGAATTCATTGTACAACAGGAAACATTCAAACAAACCAATGAATGAAAAGTTTGACTGCAGGCAAGAAGATGTTTCATAAAGCCCTCCCCATGCTTCATTTTGCAGGAAGGATTTTTGGTGTCAATCTTCTCTTCTAACTCTGCAATAAATTAGAGGTAGATGAGAAACATATTTGCACAAAGTGTTGAACTAATCCTTGAAGCGATGATAAAGTACAATGTCATTTGTAGACAAAAAGGAAGTGAAACATTCATTCACACCCAAAGAATAAAAAAGTTTGACTGTGGGCAAGAAGATGTTTCATAAAGCCCTCCCCATGCTTCAGTTTGCAGGAAGGATTTTTTAACAGCTAGCTGTGAACTTGAATTTAGTTTTCTTTCAGACTCACTGAGGGTCACAACAGTAAAATGTCTGAGGCTGATGGAATAGTGTACTCTGATGTTAAGTTCACAAGACCGAAGAGAAACACCAGTGGTGAGTCTTTAATGAGATATCGATCTGTCATTTACTTCACTATTACATTTATAAGATTGTTATCAAAGATTTAAATACCTGTTTCTTTTATATAAAGATATATTTAAAATATATGAACGTTTAATGTCACACTTCATCAGTTATCTGCAGATATTTGCAGCTCTTTCATCAGCAGTTTGGTTTCGTGTTTTGTGTCGCAGGGACCGCTTCCTCAGAGGCTGAACCCACATACTCTGAAGTCAGGATCTTGAAGACTCATCCATCCACAGAGCTCCCTGGTGGGTAAAACACTGTTTAATAAACGAGAAGGTGAACTGTGACCTCCAGTCAGTGGTCATCATGAAACAAACCTGTATCAGCATTTTTTACTTTTTCCAGAATAAAAACATTTATTCTTTAATGAGCTTTCTTCATCAGACTGCAGAGGGAGTGTTCTCTAGAAACATGAGACTATTAAAACACAGAAAGTTCAGAACAGCAAGATTTTATTGACACATTTACAAATAAAATATTTATTTGTTGAACAACAAAATATATTATAGTAAAGTATTATCGTTAAGTAATTAAGTGGCCTATTTACAAATCTCTCTCTACACACACACGCACACACACACACATATATACATACAACAAAGAAACAAAAAAAACTGCCACAGCACAGAATAAATATAGAGATTATTACTATTATGTTGTTTGTGGTCGTCTGTTATTTTAATATGTCACATATTCTGCCTCCAGAGCATATTAAATATAGATTTTACATGATGGAAAATGTGCATTCAAAAATACATCCACTGTTACGAAAGGAAAATTACTTTATTTAAGTTACATTTATAGCTCTCATCTAAAAATAAGGTACAGAAACGGTCACTGCCTGCAACTTACAAGTAGCATAAAGGGAAATATAATCTAAGTTTCATTATACAACCCTGTGTTGTAAATAACAACAAAATAACTTTGAATTGTTTGTAATAACTTTGACCTCAAATTAATAATATTCAAGATCAGTGCAGATGATGACCTTTATGTCCCTATACTGAAAAGATAGAGTGGAGAGACAGAAAGAAAGAGACCAAGAAAGAAAGAGAGAAAGACAAAGGGTGGTGGATGCCTCGACTTATCTTCAATGTATGACTTTAACTTGCAGTATTTTTACAGTGTAGTATTATATTTGTACTCTAGTGAAGGAACTGAATACTTCCTCCACGACTACATCTGGTTTGTCTGTATCTTCTGCTGGTCAACAGGTTCCCAACAACACCCAGTGTCAAATGGAGGGTCAAAGGTCACACCAGAGAGAGTGGTCATAGTAGTTCTCAGTGCTCTCCTGGCAGCTGCTGTCATCGCTCTCGGCTTTACCTGTGAGTTTGTTCTTTTTAAAGTGAATTCATCTGGATTGATTTATAAAATCTGATCATTGTTTTGAAGAACAGAATTTATGGATTTAAGGCTTTTTCAGAACTGTTGATGTAAATTCATCAAAAATTAATTGAGAAATGTCACATTTTCAGTCTTTTTTGTACGGAGCCCCTAAAGGGACATGGGGAAAAAATGAAACGTTTCTCGTGAGCACGAGATACTTTCTGGTGCTCACGAGAAACGTTAGGCATACCCACAGGCAGTTGTGCTTCCTGTGCGTATGCCTCTAGGCTCATTAACTGCGGTCAAGCCAGTCGTTACTAGGGTGGCCATTCGTCCAGCTGCAGGCGCAGTCTTAAGCCGGACACTCATCTGTCCTCCTTTTGAGAAAATAACAAAAAACATTTTGACCCATTACCTCGTTAGTTTAATACTTATTGGCTAAAAATGTGTGTCAAAATAAGTAATTTCATTGGTTACATCTTCGTGTCATGACCTATCAACACACTAATTTTAATATTCAAATGAGTCATGTGTTGATTGGCAACAACAGTGCTCATGCAGTTGCTACCAGCAGGCTGTCAATCAAGCTCTCAGACAGAGAACATAACATTAGCTAACTCCGGTTGTTGGTTGTACAAATATGGCCTTTTATTGTTAAATTTCTCCAAATTGGTGCAGTAAAAATGCTTGATATTAAGTATACTTGTAGTCTTATATTTGTAGAAGTCAAATATACCATCCATAGCCAGGAGTTATTGAGCAATGTGTTTTTATAGTACCTCAAATATAAGAAAAGATGCAACTTGGAGGTACAAATATGGAACTTTTGTTTTGGCATTTCTCCACATTGGTGCAGTAAAAATGCTTGATATTAAGTATGTTTTTGATTCATCATGGTCGCACTGTATGTAATGTAACATGTTTTCTTTTAAATGTAGGTTCGAATTATAGCTTACTGTACTTAATAGCTTTATTTTGAAAACCGGAAGTGAATACGCTGTTTCTCCGCAATTACCATAAAGCTGAGAATATAACACTTATATATATATATAACACTCGAAGTAATGAGGCTGATTTGACCACAGAGATCGGAGTAACGGCTGGCTTAACCGCAGTTAATGAGTCTAGAGGCACAGGAAGTACAACTGTCTGTGCTTAACCTAAGGTTTCTTTTTTTTTCTTTTCTTCCCATGTCCCTTTAGGGGCTCCGTACTAATTGTTATCTAGACATTAAAGAAACCCTCACTCTGAGTTAATATTGGATTTATTCTCTTCTGCAACCTGCTCATCATCAAACACCGACTAGTTTACAAACCGGTGTTTGACTCGACTGACGATGTGATATCATCAGTAGACTTAAAAACAGGAACAACTACTTCATCATGAGTAGTTCATGTTTCTGCATTAAATAAATCACTTCATTGTTCCATCATTATTTATTATGAAACACTGATGATTTACCAATGCAGTGTTTGACCTGTGCTTTCTTTTTTTAATCAGCTCTTGATAACATACACACCAAGCAAAGTTTCCAGACTCTAAGAGACGAGCATGAAGCTGTGAAAAGAAATCTCACAGGTAATCCAGTCAGGTTTGGAAACTGTCTAAAAAGGTTCAGTCTACAAGTTAAAAGTCTACTTTAACCTACATTTTGCAACACTGCAAGATCCTTTTAAAATGTGACATCTCACATCTCACATTGTGTTTGAAACTGTCTAAAAGATTTAGTCCACAAGTCTCTGCAAGTCTCATTTTGTGTTAAACTGGATTGTTTTCAGTTCTGACAGGTGGACCCTGATATTGATCTGTTAATTATCAACTGACTGTACTGTGAAAGAGTTTCAGGTTTAGGTTTATAAATAAAAGACGATCCTGATGAAAGTGAAATTGTTTTCATAACAGAGAGACGCTGTGAAGTAAAATCATACAACACTGTGCAGCAAACCAGCCCACAACCTCCTGTAGTAAAAGAAAGAAATTGATGTATTTTTCCTTTCTTCCATGTTTGCATCCTCTGATGATGATTAAAGAACCAGTGATGTATTGACAGATACAAGAAGTCAGATTGGCAGTATATATACCTGTGAAGTAGAAAACAGTTGCCTCTGTCTGATTGTCTCAGCTGCTCTCAGATTCAAACTCGTTCATCTCAAAGTTCCTGCTGCTTCCAAATCACACAAATATAAACATTGATCTCTTTCACCTGACTCAAGTCTTTACTGTGATCTCTTCAAAGGTGACCAATGTCCAAAATGTGAACATGGCTGGGAGCAGCATGGAAGACAGTGTTATTATTTCTCCACCAATTATTTAACCTGGAGTAAGAGCAGAGATGAATGCCAACAGAAAGGAGGAGATCTGGTTCAGATAGACAGCAGAGAGGAGCAGGTAAAACACACTGCTGCAGGTTCATGTAGCTCACTGGCTTTATTCTCATTTGTTTTATCACATCCTTGTGTTTCCACATTAGTTAACATGGTCTCTCAGCACAGAAAAGTCATGTTACATATTGTGTTCTTCATAAACGTTTCCTGTCCAGACATTCCTGGAGCTGAAACTGAGAGAAAAAATGAATGATGGGGACAAGTTCTGGATCGGACTGACAGACTCAGAGAAAGAGGGCACATGGTTGTGGGTAGATGGCTCACCACTGAACGAGAGGTTTGACTGTTATAAAGATATTTTTTGTCAGTTTCGAAAATCAAAGTTATCAGTTTTATTGAACCATTTTCTTTCTGTTCTCTAACTCTTAGTTTGACATTTTGGTTCCCCGGTGAGCCAGATAACCAGACCACGAGAGATCCTGATGGAGCGGACTGTGTGATGATGGGAAAGAGAGCAGGAGCTCCTGATCTGAAATGTTGGTTTGATCAGTCCTGCAAATTTGTTTACAGAAGTATTTGTGAGAAACCAGCAGAAACTGGACATTTTACTCTCCAGTGTGTCTGAAATGTAGTTTAAATGAAGTCTCAGCCTGTTCTCAATCTCAGTACAGGATACAGAATTTGGAGCAGTTTTATTTTTGTATATGTAATGTTAAAATAAATGAATAAATAAGGAAAATATTAAAATGCAGTTTGTTTAATGTGCCCAACAATGCTATTATATATTATATCATCAGACTATAGTTACTCATGTATTAATGGAAAAGGAGCTTTTTACTGTCATAGTTTGTGAAGGTGGAGCTCATTTCAAACTATTCTAATTCTAATATATCATATTATTATATAAAATTGCTGTCCATATATATATTTATATTATTAAAAAATTGAAAAATGACTTAAACCATTATCACAGTTTATTCTCTGTTAATTGACTGATCATTTCTGCTGTACTTGTATACTGTTGGGTAGTTACATTTATAATAAAACATAACATTTTATAAAGTCTCTGTATCTTTGCATGAAAAAAAAAAACTGTTTGCTTTTGTAGATAGAAGAATAATAATGTTAAAACAATGTTAAAAATGTGAACTCCAGGAAGACCAGCAACCACTTTGTAGAAGTTAACGTGGATCCAAGTACAGAATAAAGTATTTAGATTGTTTGATAATTCATAAAATGCTAGCCTCATCATCTATCAGCATTTTCTTTCTTACAACCCCGTCTGTCTGCATAAAAGTAGTGTTTGAACACACTGTGGTTTGTACTGCAGAAAGTAGTGTGTTACTATAAAACAGACAGACCATCATAATATTGAAAAATCTAAGTCTTTCCTACAGAGAAATTGTGAAGAAAGTTAAGGTGTCAGTGAGTACAGTCTCCTTCACCGTCAAAAGGCACTCAGAAACTGGGGGGAAACTCTGACAGGAAGAGGTCTGGCAGACCCAAAGCCACAACAGAATCAGATGACGTTTCTGAGAGTCAACAGCTTGCGTGATAGGTGGTTCACAGAACAACAGCTTCAAGCTCAGCTTAATAGTGGTCGTAATAAGCAAGTCTCAGTTTCAACTGTAAAGAGAAGACTTCGAGCTGCAGGTTTGACAGGTTGAGTTGCAGCAAGAGAGTCATTGCTAAGACTTCAGAATAAGGAGGGTTCCTCAGTGTGTGACATCAACTGTCAAACATGGAGGAGGAAGCGTGATGGTCTGGGGCTGCTGTGTTGGATCCAGGGTCGGTGACTTGTACAGAGTGAGAGGCACCCTGAACCAAAACGGCTACCACAGCATTCTGCAGTGCCATGTAGTTCCCTCTGGTATGAGCCTAGTTGGTCAGGGGTTCATCCTACAGCAAAGATAATGACCTAAAACACAAGGACTACCTTAGGAAAAGAGAACAAGACAGTAAGCTTGAAAACATGGAGTAGCCAGCACAGTCACCAGACTTAAACCCCATTGAGCTGGTTTGGGATGAACTGGACAGAAGAGTGAAAGCAAAGCAACCTACAAGTGTCACACATTCATAGGAACTTCTGCAACAGAGTTGGGAAGAACTTTCTGAATAATATTTGATTTCCATTGTAGAAATAATGCCGCGAGTGTGTTCAGCTGTTATATCTGCCAAAGGTAGCGACTTTAATGAGTCAAACATTTAGAATACATTTTGGTTTATAAATTGATTCCATTATTTTTTTCTTTTTTAATTTCAATTGTTTATTAGTTCCATGCTTTTATTTCAGAGTACAATGAGACATTAAACTGCATGAATTTCAATAAAAACCGGGAAAAATCATGTTGTTCTAAAACTTCTGACCGTTAGTGTATGTATTTATATTTAAATTGTTGTTTTGTTGTCAGACAACAGGAAATATATTGAGGTTTCCTGTTGGTTTAATGCAGCAGCAGCACTCTGCACTGTCAGAGACCAACAACAGTGTGGGAAAGTATCAGAGCAGAAGGTGAAACAGGCGGCCATGAATTGTTCAAAAAATCACACCTTTACAGTTGGATGTTTTCTATTTAAAATCTTAACGTTTGAAGATTTCTTTAAAACAATGAGTCTAACATGTAGAAGAACAGTATGCTTCATCATTTATCATTGTTTTACAACACATTGTTGAT